TTTTAAAATCATAATTATGAGAATAAAAGTCATAATTACGAGTTTTAATGTCATATTTTCGAGTTTTAAAGCCATCATTACGAGAATAAAAGTCATAATTTTATAAGTGACATGCAGTCTGGCTTTCTTAAGGAGAGATCTATTCACAATAATCTGAGACTGGTTCTAGATTTGCTGGACTATGAACATCTGGTGGAGGACGATGGAGTCATTTTCTTTTTGGATTTTTACAAAGCCTTTGATATGGTGGAACACACCTTTATCTTAAGATCATCCGCTGGATGCTGTCTGTAAATGGTTGTAACTTTATAGACAGAAAATGTAAATGACCTCAATTCTCTTCCAAAATGATAATTCCTCTATAAAAAAAAAATCAAAGCCAAATATCTTTCCTATCCACTCCCACAAAAAACTAAAGAAATTCATTTCAAAATGATGTTATGCAATTTATCCTTGCATGACTTGCTGCACAAGAAATTTAATATAGATACCAACTCATGTGCATTCTGTAATTCAGATATCAACAGCAAAACACCTTTTTTAATTGCAATTTCATTAATGCTTTTTGGAAATATTTTCAGAGCTGGATTATACAGTATCTAAGAGTTCTACCCCACCTTTAGGTTTTACTATAATAACATTTGGTCTGCTAACAGGGAGTTTTAAATTATGGTAACAACTTAATCCTTATGACAAATTTTTTATCCACAAATGCCGTTTCCTGAAAATTACCCCCATGTTCAACATTTTTTTTAAATGGAATAATTTTATTTAAGGAAGTGCTTAAACACTGCAACCTTCCAAATGCCCAATCCTTATACCAGTATAGCTTATTTTAAGACTTGAAACTCCTCTTGCATTTGTAACTTTTTTTATTTTGCAGTTTCCTCAAATTGTTCATTTTCTTTGTTAATTATATTTCTATTCATTATTTTATGCATAGCTTTTTATCATATGAACTGTGAACATGTTTTATTTGTTGTATGCCTTGTTATATACCGGTGATTCTGTGCTGCTTGTCCTGTTGGACCTCACAGCCGCCTTTGACACCATGGACCATGAGATCCTCATTGCTAGGTTGGAGCAGTGGGTGGGTGTCACAGGATCAGCCCTCAGTTGGTTCAGGTCCTACCTCACTGACAGATCCTTTTGTGTCTCCATCAAGGATTTTAGTTCTGCAGCAGCAGAGCTTAAATGGGGGGTTCCGCAGGGGTCCGTCCTGGGTCCCCTCCTATTCTCTTTATACCTGCTGCCGCTTGGTGCTATTTTCCAGAAACACAACATGCACTTCCACTTCTACGCCAATGACTGTCAAATTTACTTCCCCCTAAGACACAATGGTACATGCTCTATTCAACCGCTGCTCAACTGCCTGGCTGACATCAGGGACTGGATGGCTTTAAACTTCTTAAGTTTCAATGAAAAGAAGTCTGAAGTCATGTTGTTCCCTCCCAACGACACGATCACAAACCACTGCATCGACCTCTCCGCTCTAACCCTGTCAGAAAAAAAGAGTCACTAATCTGGGAGTGATAATGGACCCTTCCCTGAAACTTAACAATCATGTAAACATAATTGTTATATCATGTTTCTTCCAACTGAGGCGGCTGTCTAAACTGAAGCCCATATTGTCCAAAAATAACCTGGAGACAGTAATACATGCATTCATTACATCTAGGCTTGATCACTGCAATTCACTCCTGTTTGGTATCAGTCAGACCTCCATTGCACGACTACAACTGGTCCAGAATGCAGCAGCCCAATTTTTAACCAGTACAGGCAAAAGAGAGCACATCACACCAGTTTTGGCCTCCCTGCACTGGTTACCGGTTCACTTTCGAATCCAGTTCAAAATACTCCTGTATGTCTACAAATCACTGAACAGTGTCGCCCCCTTCCATCTCTCTGATTTGCTACAACCGTATGTCCCTCCACGTTCCCTGAGGTCAGCGGACCAGTTGCTCCTCACAGTTCCAGGAACTCGTCTTAAGCGCAGAGGTGACGGGCCTTCTCTGTAGCAGGACCAAGACTTTGGAACGAGTTACCTCTGCTTGTCAGACAGGCCCCCTCCCTCTCGGTTTTCAAGTCCCGTTTAAAAACTCACTACTATTCAGTAGCTTTCAACACCAGAGGATCTGTGTTTTGATCCATTACGCTCCACAATGGTTTGTCGTCATTATCTGCATCGTTTTTATGTCTATATTTCTGATTTATTTCATTTTGTATTTTGCTTTGTGTGTTACCTGTTGTTCTGTCTGTACATCACTTTGGTTGGCCTTGTCGCTGTTTTAAGTGCTCAATAAATAATATGGTATGGCATATTACGTTCTGTATTTTTTTTTCAATAAATAAAAAAAAAAAATAATATATATATAT